ACATTTTCTCTAGGAAAGTGGGATCATAATGTATTTCATCAAAAGTTGGATTTTTTATCTTTAATTTAAGGTGAATACTTTCCAAACCATATATGACTCCTTTTAATTCTTGTACAGAATTGTTTTTAGTTATGCCATAATTTATGTAGCTGTTTCCTTATTCATAGACATTCTAAGTTATTTCCAGGTTTTGACTGTTGCAGCGTATTGACCAGTCATCATCTTCTTTTGAATGTAATTAAATGTTAGTGCCTCTGATTTTAGTAAGATGTAGTCCCTAAGTAGGGTTGCTAGGTAAAGGGTTTTTAATGAGTCTTCAGAGATGTCCTTTCCTAAGGTGGCTGGAGTGTTTCATTCCTCCAGCTGGCTCATCACAGTGTTAGTTTCTGGTGGCTCTGAGAATGCTGTCTCTCCTGTCTTCCACACATGTTGGTCAGGTGGTGGAAAGCAGTTTCCTTGCCGGTGCTCACATTCTTAACTGCTGAGTGGTTATGTTTACATTTGTTTCTGATTGCCTGAATTTCACTTTTACAAATGTTTTAGTCTGCAGCTTTACTTTGGGGTTATTGTTTTCACTTCACAGGTATTTCCTATTTGTTTTTATACTTTGCTTATGGTATTTTTTTATGACAGGTAAAGTTTTTTCCTCCCTTGACATATAAGTCCTACTTACTGAGCTCTAACTTACATATAGTAAAGTTTGCTCTATGCATAGAGTTCATTGTGTGTTGACGGTCATTGAATTACTAAGGTATAGAATATTTCCATTGTCCCAGAATGTTCCCTTGTGCTTCTTTGTAATCAGTCTCCCAGTGCCTGACAACCACTGATCTTTCCATCCCATTAGTTTTGCCTCTTCCCGAATGTCATGTAAGTGGATTTGTGATGTACAGCCATTTGTGTCTGGCTTTCTTTTACTTAGATGTGTCGTGTCTGCGCTGTTCCTGTCTCACTGCTAAGTAGTATTCTGCTGCATGGTGAGTTAGTTTCCTGGGCTGCTGTTTCAGTACTGTGTCACAAATAGAGTGGCTTCAGCAACAGAACTGTGTGTCTTACTGTCCTAGAAGCTAGAAGTCCAATGCAGGTGTCTGCAGTATTGGTTCCTTTGAGGTTGCTACCTCTCCTGCAGTGGCTTCTGGTGACCCCACATATTTTCTCCGTTGGTGGTAGCAAAACTCCAGTCTCTGCCTCCATCTTCATATGGCTGTGTCCCTATGTGTCTTCATATCATCGTCTTCCATGTGTGTCTCTTATTTTATAAGGACACTGGTCACTGGATTAGGGCCCACCATAATTTCATTATAATTTGATTATCCCTGGAAAGACCCTGTTCTAAATGAGGTCACATTCTGAGATACTGTCTATTAAGGCTACCATACAACTTTTGGGCAAAGCACAATAATACCCCATGACATAACAGATGGGTGGACTACAGTTTTCTTATTCATTTACCATTTGATGGACGTTCTCATTGTTTCCGTCATGCTAGATAATTCAAAACAGAAGAGAGGATGAAACTAGGTTTAAGGGCTCTTTTCAACCTCTTAACTGTGGAAGGGGTGAGGTTACTCGTTTCTCAGCCTGCATGGAATTGCTTTCTTGGCTCAGTGTTTGGAAGTGGCCTTGTCTGACTGACCCTGTGTCTTTGATTCTTCAGCACAGGAGAAAGCGGCGTTCTACACCCTTGACCTCTTCCACACCACATTCACAAACCACAGAGAAAAGCCCTTATTTCCAAACCACAGAGATCTCTCTGTGGACGGTGGTGGCTGCTCTTCAGGCTGTGGAGAAGAAGATGGAGTCCCAGGCCGCTCAGCTGCAGAGCCTGGAGGGCCGTGCAGGGACGGCCGAGAAGAAGCTGGCTGACTGTGAGAAGACTGCTCTGGAGCTTGGCAACCAGCTGGAGGGCAAGTGGGCCGTGCTGGGGACCCTGCTGCAGGAGTACGGGCTGCTGCAGCAGCGGCTGGAGAACGTGGAGAACCTGCTGCGCAACCAGAACTTCTGGATCCTGAGGCTGCCCCCGGGCAGCAAGTGCGAGGCCCCTAAGGTAGCTCCCCCACCCCAACATTCAGTTGGGTCAGAAGATGCCCCAAGGTTCTAAATTGTGCACTGGTGCCAGAGACTCCTGCAGTAAGTCTCTAGACCCCACGTACCCAGTGTGCGACACAAAGTTGAAAAATAAGACAGAGTTAAAGAGAAAATGTAAACTAGGATGACCAATGCTCCTTTGGCAAAAAGTTCTGGTCCGTCTCTTCTACCAAATTTTATTATTCATCAATCAGTGTAAAGGTGCAATATGTGTATAGATGTGCAATACGTGAAATTATCATGGAAACTAATGCAGGCAAGGCTTTAAAGAGAAGTCAAAGCATTTTCAAACTAGGAACAAAATAGACAAAATATATAGTTATAATTGGAGCACTGTCCTTCAAGCTATGAAGGCAGTAATTGTGGAAATGGAATTTGGGTGCAAGTACTCTGACTTCAGCTATAGCTCTTATCTCCTATGGGCCCCACATCTTTATAGGCCATTGCTCTGGTCTTGGCCATGGCCCTTAGCAGGGAGGTCAGTTTACCTGTGCCTACCGCATTGCTCATGAGATACTTCTGAGAGTCACAGAGCTTCAGTCAGACTCGCTTCTTAAAGTAAGCCAATCAAGGGATTTAACTCTTTGCAGCCTACACTGCTTACAGCATGTTTTGGGCATAATCAACATTGTGGGCTCTGGCTCACTGGCTTGGCCGCCAAGGCACTCACTGTGCTGTTTGTGATTTCAGGTATCCAGGGCTCTTGAGAACGATGGTGTCTGCTTCTCCGAGCAGGAGTGGGAGAACCTGGCGGACTGGCAGAAGGAGCTCTACAGGAACGTCATGCAGAGCAACTATGAGGCTCTGGTCTCCCTGAGTGAGTAGTTCCTGTCCTGCATCTGCCCAGCGCCCTGTGCTTCCTGCCCAGTGGCTGTGGCCCTAATAGGCCCTGGCTCCTCTCTTGGCCTGGCTGGGAGAAGTGGGTGTTTCCTGATCCTCTCACCAGCAGAGACTTTGGAAAGGCTTCATGTTTCTTCTCTGCAGTCATACTGTCATCTCTTGAGAATCTCTACTAGATAAGGTTCCACTACTACACAGCCAACCATACTCTTTCTTTTAGCCTTTGACTAGAGTCAGAGCCAGTCATTGTGGTTTTAGATTTATTTTATGTTGATTAGAAGTGCTGTGCAGTCTTTATGTGTGAACTATTACCTATGACATAACAAGTGCATTTTGTTGGGGGTCAAAATCCTTTAAAATGTAGGTCCGTGGAGAAGTACAGTGGTGTCTCAGTTCACAGACTTAATCTGTTCCATGATTTTGGAAAAGATGGCTATATCTTTGTTTGTGTGGGAAAGATGGCCTCAGTTATATTTGTCACCCGGTGCAGAGTTTGCAAACAAAAATAAAATTTTGCTAAACACTTGTTTATGAACTAAGTTGTTCTCAAAAGTGTTTGTGAACTGAGGGTACACTGTATCTCGGAGGCCAGAGTGATGGGAGGGAAGTTGAAATGGGCCAGAAGGGACTATGCCCTCAGCTGTTTCATATACTGTCTTTGGGGCTGCTCTCTTATCTGTCACAGTGCCTACCTTACCTGGCAGTGTCTCAGCAAGGGTGAAGTTAGATGCTGGGAAAGAGCCTTGGCAAGATGTCAGCCACATGCTGGGGAGGTGCAGGGTGTGCTGAGGACAAGGGCCGGGCCCTGTAGCCTACAGCCTAAGCCCAGTGCTACGCACGAAGGCAGTGTTTCCTCAGCCACTGTCTGGCCAGAATTGTCCCATTGTTCTGAAATGCTAGGGGAATGTGACAGTGATAGTAGCCTTTGAGTCTTCTTCCGAAGTTGTGGTATTGTTTCCTTTGTCAGTGTGTCGTTGCCCAGAGTGGGGTAAGCTTTTCTCTTCTCTGGGCTCACCCTGTGCTGTTTCCAACCTAGAGGTCCTTGGCCAGCCAGAAGGAGAAGCGGAGCTGGGTGCAGAGATGCTGGGTGACTTGGAGGAGGAGGGCCTTGTTGGTACCCACCCTGGTGAGTGCTTCAGAATATTCTTTCCCCTGCCAACTGCAGGTCCCACCACAGAGCTGCCCGGCACTGCCGGTCTGTGACCTTGTCTACATGTTCTGGTTCTGGGCTCCTTGTCCTGTCATGTGTGTACCTTAACTCCTGCCACCCTGTGAGGTCATAAACCCAGTGCTCACCCCTTTTCACTCCCTGCAGCATAGAGGCTGAGACAGGCTGTGGGCAAAGGGTGGGACAGAGCAGGGCAGAGGAGCTGTGGGAAGGAAAGACATTGCAAGTGGGCACTTGGTGGAAGACCCAAGAGAAGAGCCAAACAGGATTTTTAAGCTGTAGGTTTGTCCTTTTAACAATTTCCTAAATTAGGTTGTTACAATGTATATTGTCATTTTGGTTGAGTTTGGATAACTTTCACTCTTGGCATTGTTCTCTGAGAGTAGACCACTCATTTCCAGCCTACGTGTCCTGTACATGCATATAATTCAGTTAAAAACAAATTTTTTTATATAATTTAGTTTTTTTACAAGTATTGGAACCTAGTTAGTGTCCTCTCTTCCAGGTTGTGCTATTTCCCATGTTCCTAGGGGCTTTAACTCGAGCCCTTTCAGAATGTTCAGATGTGCTGAAGTGTGATTTCTCCTGGGCTTTTTTTGCAGCAGATGGAACCATGCTCAGACCGGAGGTGCCGAGCCAGCCAGAGGGCTGCATGTTCCCGGGTGCGGCTGAGGAGCCAGATTTCCTGGGCCCGGTGCAGACTGAGCTCTGGGATGGGCAGGGCAGTTCTGCCCCCTTGGAACAAGCTCCCCGGGACTCTAACCTGGAGGAGCCCCTGGAGGGCAGTAGAAACCCTGCAACTGGCAGAACTCTGGGCTGCTCCCCAAAGCAGAAATCCCACAGGCAGGTACAGCTGGGTCAGGAGTGCGGGCAGGGCCTGAAACTGAAAAGGGACACCTCTGGCCCCTACGAGTGTTCTGAGTGTGACATCAGCTTCTGCTACAAGCAGCAGCTGGCTGCACATCTGCGGAGCCACATGGGGTGGGCGTCCTACCCTGAGGCAGAGCCTGAGGAAAGCCTCAGGCCCAGGCCACGGCTGAAGCCTCAGGCGAAGAGGGCCAGGTTGCACCAGTGTAACGTGTGCCAGAGGAGCTTCAGCTGCAGGGTGAGCCTGGTGACCCACCAGCGCTGCCACCTGCAGGAGGGGCCCAGCGCTGGCCCTCGAATCCAGGAGAGGTTCTCGCCCAACAGCCTGGTGGCGCTGCCTGGCCACATCCCCTGGCGGAAGAGCCGGAGCTCCCTCATCTGTGGCTACTGCGGCAAGAGCTTTAGCCACCCATCTGACCTAGTGCGGCACCAGCGAATCCACACGGGCGAGCGGCCCTACAGCTGCCCTGAGTGTGACAAGAGCTTCGTCCAGAAGCAGCACCTGCTGCAGCACCAGAAGATCCACCAGCGGGAGCGTGGTGGGCCGGGCCCTGAGCCTGGGAGGCCGAATGGCCTGCTGTAGGGTGCAGCCCCTCGCCGTTGGGGGCGGAGGGGGGCAGCATCAGTGCCCCCGAAACTACCATTCTAGCCAGGGATTGACTGCTTCTGGTCTGCCTTCCCTTGCCTGAGCACCAGGCTGAGCCCCAGGCTGTCCTGATACCATGTGGAAAAGCAGGAGCCAGTGCTCCCTCTCCTGAGTCTTGGCTCACTGCTGGTTCTGCTGGCTCTGGCCCCTTGGGTCTCTGGTTTTCTGATCCTCTGATACTCAGGGTTGGGTTGGCTGCTAAGCCACAGGGCCAGGTGCCGGTGAGCAGCTGTAGGATGAGGATGAGTTCTGTGAAGGCTCTCCCTCCACGTCCCCTTTTGTAGTTTCTCTTAATAACAAGTAGAAGGAATAATTTAAGTGAGCAGTTACTCCACTCTGAAGACTGTTTTTTTGGAGTTAGGTTCTAGTTGATTTAAAAAATATAATGCAACAGTTGTTTTTAAAGTTTGGAGAGTCGTAGGAGTTGTTCCTAACTTGGGGACTGGGCCTGCCCTCTAGGAGGGAGTAGTTTATGGGGCTTTTAGCCCACCCACACATACTAAGATCAGGGAGCAGAGACACACCCAGGCTCTCAGCCCTGATACAGATTGTCTCTGGAGGACAGAGAGAGAGAGAGAGGGAGTTGGAGGGGGACCTGAAGCCACTGCTGAAGAAAGAAAGGTTTCTGAGAAGGAGCCTGGTGCAGTTCTGGTTCTGGACAAGTTTATGCCACACAAGGCCCTTCTCCCAGCTCCACTGAACCATTTCTGCAGCCTCCAGGGGTAGGAGACTTACTGGTCACCTGAGATCATTCTGCTTGTACCAGAGGTTGACTTTGTTCCTGTTGTACCCATCACTTCTTGAGGTGGTTCAGTCACACTTTGTAAATCCTGCCCCAGCAAGGATGGAGATGCAGCAGTCACGGGGTCAGGAGTGCCCCACTGTTGGGAGCTGGGCGGCAGCTCATAGGCCAGATGTGAACCTCCCCTTGAATGATCTACAGTTGCCTAGAATAAAACTTACTAGCAAAAACTGGGCTCATGTTTTCCTTCTGTCGAGATCAGTCTTTTGGGGTTGGGGTGTGGTACTTTTTGTTGCTGGGACCAGTTAAGTAGAGAAGGAAAGGTATATTTTGACTCATAGTTTCAGAGGTCATAGTCCTGGTCAGCTGGCTCTGAGAGCACAGAGTAGAGCACAGCAGAGGAAAGCACCTCAGAAAACAGGAAGGCAGGAGTTGGGTGAAAGATATGCCCTAAAGACACAGGAGCCCTCCCCCGCATGTGGCCATTCAGCTAACAAACTAAGGAGTGAATTAATACAGATTAATCCCCTCAAAGTTAGAGCCCTCATGATCCATTCAGTTCCTTGGATCCCACCCACTGGCTTTTAGGAGGCACTTTGAATATCAGCCATAATACGACCCTGCTCTGGAGGGGTGACACCTGGCTTGTAGAGAGCTGACCCCATCCAGTGTTGTCGCAAAGTAAGCAGCAAGTGAAGTAGGACAGGCGTAGCAGTCCACCCGTGGAATCCCAGCATTAGGGAGGCTGAGACGGGAGAACCACTGTGAATTGAGGCCAGCCTGAATTACATAGTTCAAATCTAGCCTGTATTCCAAAAAAATAAAAGTGTTGGTATAGACATGTGCACTATGATACCTTCTCCCACTTATGAATATTCTCACCTCCTAAGTGTTGAGTGGTTTAATGCAGCCAGCCTCCTGCCTGGAGTTGTGGGAAAAAAGGTAAAATACAAGGTACAGCCTCAGTTCTCCAGCAAAGCTAACTTCCTTCAGACAAGCATAATTGTGTTAAGCAGTTGGACCACGGGTGCTATTTCCTAATCACTCCTGTGTCAAGTATGGATTTAAGTTCTTCATATAAAGACAACTTCCCATCCAGCGCTGTGTAGTACAGAGGCACAGGAGGAGACAGGAGAAGGGTGGTAATGAGGCCTGGGCATGAACTGAACCATCTTCCTTTAGAGGCCCATCAGAGCTCCCCTAAAGGGTGCTCTTGCTCCTGCACTTGGCGCAGAGTCAGGACTGCATTTTGAGTCCCTTTCATCCACAGTGTGGTCTGTGCCCCAACAGATGCACTGGCCCTCAGGTCCCCATGCCTGAGTCAGAACCTTGACTCAAGCTCCTGATGGCTGCACATGTGCCCTGACACAGAGGAGGCAGCATTTGGGTCTCCTAAGTGCGGCTGCTGTCCTTCAGGGAAAGCCTGCCTTGGATGAGCTGAGGAGACAGGAAATTCCTGTCAAGCACAGGGAGATGGAGTGTCACATGTCCCCTTCCCGGACTCACTGCTGAGGTCCTAATGAAGGTGGTGCACATCTGTAACCTTGGTTCTCTGGGGAGTTGAGGCAGGAGGATCACCTCAAGTTGAGGCTGGCCTGGGCTACATAAGTGAGTTCAGAGCTAGCCTGAACTCCAGAGTGAAACCCTGTCTCAACAAAAAACCAAGTTTCTTCCTCTACTTTTGCATGGCTCTTTCCTAGACTAGCACAATATTCCGTTTTGCCTTGATGCAAAATTTCACACGGCAGGGATATGAGTAAGAGATCTTCTGAGCTTATCAGCTGTTAAGGAGCACTAAGACAAGGCTGAAAAGGCTGTGTTCAATGAGGCTGAAGGGCTGTAAATTTCAGAGGAAAAATTATTTATTTTTGTTTTGTTTTGTTTTATGAGACAGGGTCTCACTATGTAGTTGAGACTGATCTGGAACTCACTCTGTAGCCCAGGCTGGTCTTGAACTCACAGTGATCCTCCTGCTTTAGCTTCCTGAGGGCTGGGATTACAGACATGCGCCACCACACCTTGCCAGAGGACAATTTTAGACCAGGGACATCAGGAAGTGACATAATTGCAGGTACATTGTGACAGCTTCATCTGTGTTGCTGATGTGTAATGATCAAGTCAGGGTGGTTAGCATTTCTATCTCTTCAAACAACATTTACAAAATATGGAAACACCATCAGAACCTATTCCTCCTATGTAGCTGTGCTGCAGGACCTATTTTCCACCTGTCCTCTGTTCCCCTCCTCCCTTTGAAAGATGCCTTGGAAATGGCCCTTACAGATGGCAAGGACATTCTAAGTGGAGATGACATGACCAAAGCAGGAGACATTAGGGGCAGGCACAGACAGCAGGTCCTCTGGAGTGGCTGGGGGGTGGGTAGAAGCATGGCGTATAGCCTGGGTCAGGCTGAGCATCTGGGTTTAGGCGGCTGGTGATGGAACTGAGGAAGGTTAAGCATCACGGTGGAGGACTCCATCACTGATCTGAGAGCGTTCAGCTAGTAAGAGTTGTATCTGTTTTGGGGCTTTGGGTTTCTGAGAGACCAAGCAGGAGCCAGTGGTGACCTGAGGGGTGCAACTGCAGTGGGAAGTGTGAGGGACCAGGTCTGCAGATGGGATGATGGAAAGTGGGGAGCATGTCTGTGTCATACCCCACTCGAGGTGCTCCCCGAATGTGTGTGGGCGGTCCTCACAGTCAGTGCACTGCTGCCCACTACGGGGAGGGGTCCATGCAGAAAGGGGACTCTGCTCCTCTTGCCATCTCCATTTCCCTCTACACTTCCCTCCTGATGTCTTTATCATTCTGTGTGCACAGGAGAAGTCCAAGCAAACGAAGTTCGGAACTGTTCGCCCAGAGATCCTCAAGCCTGCAGAGCTGCTTTAAAAGAAAAATCCAACCCCATAAAAGACAGATTAATAATTAAGAATGTGAGTAATTTCATATCAGCACCAAACCTAGCCTGACACCCAGGCTAGTCTGTGCAGACAACCACATTGTAGTGCAAAAGCATTTGATTTTTAAGTATTTTAAAAAATCAATGAGAATGGTAGGTAGTTTTGGGCGCTGATGAACAGGACAAACAGGATTGAGGGAACTAGTTAGCAGTGTAAATTCTTATCACCCACCTTCTCTAGCCTCAGACCTACTGCCATTTGTGCCCAGCAATATTTTGGCAAGCGCTGCAGGTACATGTGATGGGAGGTGCTTTCTACATTTAGGTGTTTTTTTTTTTTCTTTTTGGTACTGGGGATCAAATTCAGGACCTTGTGCCTTGTGAGGCAGGTGGCAGAACCACTGAGCTACATCCCCCGGCCAGGAGGTGCTTTCTAAAACAGTAATACAGGCTGGGGATGTAGCTCAGTGATTCCACTGCCTGCCTTGCAAGCACAAGGGCCCGAGTTCGATCCCCGGTACCAAAAAAAAAAAAAAAAAAAAAAAAAAAAAAAAAAAAAAAAAAAAAAAAAAAAAAAAAAAAAAATCTAAAACAGTAATACCAATAACTAAATGGGGTTTAGCAGGATTCCTGGTATGGATAATGGAAGCCCCACCCTGGGAATGGTGACCTCAATCAATCTGGTAGCCTGGACAGAACAAAAAGGGAAAGAAGGGACACATATACATACCCCTCAACTATCAAGAATTACAGCTCTGTTCCTGGAGCAGAGCTTGTTAAATACTAGCATTTTCTTTTGCTCCAATCCATTTTCCAGACTCTTGTTTTTGCATTGGACATTATTATTTTACAAAGTCAGAATTTACCACTATTTTAGTCTTTAAAATAGGCACTGTATTAGTTACCTTTCTCTCATCGCTGAGACAAAATACCTGACACCCAAAGTTAGAGGAGAAGGGGTTATTTGGCTTACAGTTAGTTCAGAGATTTCAGTCCATAGTTGGCTGGCTCTGAGATTGGCATGACAAACAAGCATCACAGAGGAGACACAACATGATGGGTGCAAGGTAGCAAAGGTGACTAGAGAGTTAACAGCGTCTCCCTGCCCACTTTGTTTTATTCAGGCTACTTAGGGTGGTAGCACTCACACCCTTAATCCTAGTGTCCTTGAGCCTAGCATTGCATCATGAATCAGTTCCAGCTTCACACACTCTAGATCAAGCCTTTGACCACATGAGGCTTTGGGGGACATCTAGATCCAAACCATAACAGGCACTGACCATGATGAGATCCTATGAAGGGTTTTAATATATTCAGCACACATCTGCAAGTTGTCTCAACAAGAATTTCTGAAATGAAAATGCTAAATACTGTTTGGGATTGTGTTCCCTTGAAGTAACACCTCCTAACTGTACCCTAAATGCTAGTGATATAGGGGGAAGAGATGTAACTCCTGTGAGGGACCTGACGCTGCCATCATAGGCTGCATTTTCCTGGTGCTTCGGCTCTTAAAATGACTTCATGCTCTTTAGTTTCCCTCCCCACCAAGACCACAGTGGTCTGGAGAGGTTAAACCTGTTTCTGCAGGACCGAACCCATAAAGGGCAACCTGGCCTGTGATAGGTTAAAGGTAGCCCACTCCTCATAAATAAGCAATAGCCCAGCCCAAAAACAATAAAAAGACCTTCCTTTCTTTGTTCCTCTCTTCCCTTCTCTGTCTCTCTTCTCTCTTCTCTCTCCTCTCTCCCTAACCTGCCTTCCCTAATAAAATCTCCTGTCAGACCTCTCCGTGTGTGGCCTAGTTGCTGAGTGTCGCTGTGCCTCTTCAGTTCCCAAACCTGCTAGATATCTGAGAAGTGAGTTTATGTTCTTTAAAATTGAAGAATGACTTCTAAGAACGATGAAGTCTAAGAGTAGGGAAAATTTATTGAGGGAAGGAAAGCTTCTAAGACAGAAGGGAGACCAGAAAGTGGGTTGCCCACTCACCCCACTTTTCAAAGATGTTTTGTTTTATTCAGCCAAGCCATGTGGTGAGGAGGGTACAAAGTGGGACAAAACTATTAAGGCCCAGTGGAAATTTACAAGGTGGGCATGAGGTGGGGCAAAACCATGACCAGCCAATAAGATTATAGTCACCCAGGTAATACTGATTAAATGGGGGGGGGTCAATGAGGAAGCAAGTCACATAGCAAGCATACAAGGATTTTCAGTAAGGGTAGGGGTCAGGGATATTTGCTGGAAATGATGGGTTAAGACCTTGGCCCCTCACCCAGGTGATAACTACTTAGAATATCAATTACTGGTATTTATCCCCAGGGGAAGTGCAAAGGTATAGCAGTTTCTCTCCTTTTACAATGCTGGCCTTCCGTGAATGTATCTTGATTATCCTCCATGTTGGCTCCTTAAGGACGGCCCTGTCTAACTGCCTGCAAGATATCTAACTAACTTACCTATCCACAATACTAGGGAGGGTATAAGGTTTTTTAGTTAACTATTGTTTTGTTTGGATCAAACATTTGGGGAAGTAACCCCCATATCCAACAAAACAAAGACAGTAAAATATACAAAGGAAAAAGAATGCCGATTAATATCTAGTGGGAAAATTTTCTGGCAAGACAGACTCTAGATGAACAGGAAATGCAGAAAAAGAAAACAAACTGCACATACTAGATTGTAATGTCCATCCAGGGGTTAATTCTGGTTTTCCGGAATAAAGCTCTTGGGCTGCAGAGGAGGAAAACCTCCTAGCAGGTCTGGCTTATTCAATCAAAATGCCCCCAACCAGCCACGCTGGTGACAGATTAATTTTGGCTGTGATCTGGCTAGGATCCTAGGCTGAAGAGCTTCTGAGTGGGCAGGACATGGACAGGTCCTGCCTGGGTGTGGCCAAGAGGCCTCAGGGGCTGCAAGATGGGAACCAGGAAGAAGGAACAGACCCAGGTGTACCTTTTTATTTTTCTTAGTCCGCGTTTCCAGCACACGACGATCACACTCATGAGGGTTGATACGCGTACATTATACAGCCTAATTCTTGTTAATTCTGGATGCAGTGCAGCGGATAAGTGGGGTCCTTATGCCTGCTAGGCAAGCGCTCTACCACCTTTGGGGGGGGCGGGTACAGAGGATCAAACCCATGACCTTGCGCTTGCCAGGCAGGCGCGGCGCCACTGAGCTAAATCCCAGGCCTAACCTTTTCTTTTAACTGAAATAAATTTACCCATAGCACTTTCCCTTTGCTCTGGGAAACTAAGGGGGAGTTGTACACCCGTGTGTTTTTCCTGGCTTCGCCAAGCTCTCAATGTGTGCTTCTTCTCTGGTCTTCGAGGCGCTCCCTGGAGCTATGGGGCCCCGGAACTCCGCGCCCGGCCCTCGCGTCCCGCCCTGCGGGTCCCCGCGACGCTC